GCAGGTCTGTTGTGGGTGTGTGGGCACTCTCACACACACACACACACACACACACACACCTCTGAATGCCCAGTTCCCCTAAAAAATAGAGAAGTGGAAGTTTATAAAAGTTAAGCACCTTGTCTGGTAACACAGTAACTATTTGAGTTAACAGGTTAAGTCCCAAGACATTACTGACTGATTATAAATGATTAATGATCCCAGTCCATTGGTGGAAACATCAAGGAGGCAATTATATTGGTTGCCTTTTCAATGTAATCCTTGATAAGTTTATATATGTATACTTTTATAATGTGTTTTGATCATATTCACCTCCTGTTCCCTGCTTACCCATTTCCTGTGCCCCCTAGAGCCCTTCTTCCCAACACATCCCCCTTCTATGCTCATGTCTTAAAACAACAACAACAACAAAAACTCTACTGAGTTTAATTAGGGTTGTTTGTATGTGCATAGGTGTGGGGTGATTTAATGGGTAATAGACAACTTACCAATGCCTCACTGGGGGTGGGATTTACAAGCCTATTTCTGTCCATGCTGGGCTGCTGTGGAGGAGTGGGCACGACTGAGTCTTCTCAAGGTAGATAGCCCCAGTTGTTGTGAGGTCAGAAGTCCAGAAGACAGTGTTGCACAGCCCTCCTTCCTGTGTTCCAGCCCACACGTTTCTTCCAGTCTCCTTCCTCAGTGTGCCCTGAGCCTGGGGAAGGTGAGGTGGTGCTGATTATGGTTGCCCTGCTTCAAGACAGAACATTCAGCAGTCACTTATTTTCAGAACTTAAGACAGTTATGAGCCTATCTACTGTCTACTACCTACTGCAAAAAGCAGCTTTCTGAGAGCAGCACTAATCTCTGGAGTGAGTTACTGGCACAACTACACTGGTGTGAAAGGCCTTGTGTATCCTTCTGACTCTGGCAGGCCCTATGTGGTAACTAGGAGTTATGGGGAGGACAGATTAGAGCTAGTTACCCGTATGTCCTTCCCTGTAGCTCCTGGTACTCCCACTCTGACTCCTCTGGGAGGAGGAAGGCAGTCCCTGCCGTGTCTGCTGTTCTTCCCCAGGCAGCTTGCTTGGCTGCCGTGGTGGTGCTCATCGTCTGCTTTGCATTTCTCAGTTAATTTGCTTACACTGTGCCAGTGGTGGGATCCTTGTGCTCATTCCAGTGATTGTCACCTCATCAAGGTGCAAGTGGGTATCACTTTTAAGAGATTCCCCTGAGAATGCCTCCCTTGTCAGAGTGCATCTTTGCCAGTGGAAACTAATGTTAGTCCATTTCCATAGTGAGTCATACTTGTTCCTACCTGCAAAGCCTACCATACAGTGAGGCCTTTTACCTGAAAGGCTACAGTGGAGAGATAATGTAGGCATGAAAAGGTGTTCAGAAAAAAATTTAAGAAAGCAAGATACTAATATTTGCTTTAGGTTAATATTTGATGATAATATAATGGGTTCATCTTAATTTATTGTAGTTGTGAGACTTGTTCAAATATAAAACTCCTTTTGGTTTACACAGTGGAGCATGGTCTCCATCAGATTGGGCCAGGACCATTGGATGAGTGCAGTTTTTACTCTTTATGAAAATAGATAATGCTGTCTTTCTTGCTATGGCTCCTGTAGTATTTTATCCATGGTTTAAGTGTCCCTTTTCCCCCCTTCATATATGTGTGTGGGATGCATAGGTGTATGTATGAAGTGTGTGTGTGTGCTTGCACATGTGCGTGTGTGCTTGCATGCGGGTTCACAACCATATGGAAGCCTGAAGTTGATATCAGAAATCACCTTGTCATTCTTTGACCATATTCATTGACTCATGGTTTCTCCGATAAACCTAGAGCTCTCCAAGGTGGCTAATTTGATAGTCAGCGTGCTCTGGGGAATTCATGTTCTGCCTTTTTGAGCTAGAGTTATAGGAGGGGCCGCTACGTCTGTCTGACAAGTACATTGGGTTTCTAGGGATCCAAATTGTGATCCTCAGGCTTGTGAACCAAGCCATCTCCCCAGCTCAGTTTAAGTTTACTTTAATTGGGGATTCTTTTGATTATTTTTTTAATCATGGCTTTCAGGGTTTGTTTTGTTGTTGTTGATGTTGTTGTTGATGTTGTTGGTGGTGGTTTTTTGTAGTACCAGGATCTTAGACAGTAGGTAAGTGTTTTACCACTGGCTACACATTCAACCCAAGCTAACATATTGAACAGTAAATATTTTTACTTTAAAAAAAGTCAAGTTTCTTTTTACTGTAATGTTTTCTTTTGTTCATTTTACGGTTACTAACAATTCATCAATAGCTTATCAGATCGTACTTACTGCACCTGGAATTTATTTTGGGAATTTTTTGAACAGTCCCCCACCCCCAGCTACTGCTGTGAGTTGGGTCAGCTCTGTGAGTACTGTATGCACCCTGAAGATTGAGAGCTTTGTTCATTGTTGTGTATGAAACCCCTCAGGTAGTGCACAGCCTGGGGCTGGTGTGCAGCTCAGACTCCATACAACAGCGTCGATGTCGTTGTGGGATTGCAGTGCTGCTTTTGTACCGGGTTAGGAGATAACCCTGATCACCTCTGCTTAGATTTTCCTGCTAAGATTTTTGCCCCTTTCACTTTGTACTACTGTCGCACTATCTCTGCGAACTATTGTGCTAGGTATTTAAGATAGAGAGAAACATTGCTTTTTCAGCCTTTTCCCAGGATTGTACTTAAAATAAGATTTGCTCTTACTATATTGTTTGGATTTATTTACTTATTTTATGTGTATGTGCATACAGTGCCCATAGAGAGATACAGAAGAGCACCAGACCCTCCAGAACTGCACTTAATTAGGTGACCCTAGGCTGCTTCCAGACTGGCACATGTTCTTAATTGCTGAGCTGAGTCTTCAGCCCGACATTACACCACTACTCGCTTGTAAACAGGGAGCCTGAATGATGGTGGTATTAGGTGTTGAGAGTTTCTCATTCTTGGAAACATTTTCAAAATAGACTTCGATATTGGAAATTATTTTAAGGGTCTTCTTCAATGGGTATAATTCCAGAAAGCATGAGCTTTACCTTCATGTCAGCTGGCACCAAATAAGCTTTGGTTTGTTCTAAACATTTCTATTTAGATTTTTTTTTTTTTTAAAGTTGAGGTTTTGTGAAGACCAAGGTATCTGTGGACTCAATAGCTGAGGAGGCTTAATTCCTGGCCTTTCTGGAGAGCGTAACCACATCCCTCTAACTCCTGAGTTCTGGCCTTCCTGGAGAACATAACCACATCCAGCTCTTTTTTTAAATATTGTAATGTTGTATAGAAACTAAGAGTATTTTTTATTTAAATAAAATTTTCCCTTTTCTACAGCATTGACAATAATAAACATAACGTAGAAGATTTGTTTCAACTCACAAGTTCAAGACTAGCCTTGACAACATAATGAGGTCCTGTCTCAAAAACGAGCAAAAGCAAATACAAAAAAAAAAAAAAAAAATCCAACAGTAATGAAATGCAGCTTCATACCGAGTAGAGTAGAGAAAATTTAAAAAGATAATAGGTTTGGATGAGCATGAAGGAAATTAGAACTATTATACATAGCTTGTGCTGTATATTGGTTCTACCATTGTGGTTAAACCATACAGCATTTTATTAGGAGGCTTAGTGAAGTTGCCATACAGCCCAGCATTTCTCCCTAAGGATGTAACCACCAAAAGCAAGGACGCAATGACCACATAAAAGCTTGCACATGGATGTGTACAGAAATATTACTTTCAATAGCCAAGGAGTAGAAACAGTTGAGATTTCCAGTGAGCAAATGAATAAAGAAAATGTTATTTGGAGGCTAGGGCTCAGTGGTCAAGAGTCCTTGCTGCTCTTGCAGGGAACCTGAGTTTGTTTCTCAGCACCTACATGGTTTCTTATGACCATTTTTAACTCCAGTCATATATGTGGTGCCACATTCATACATGCAGGCGAAACACACATAATAATGAATAAATCTTTAAAGAGTGCCATGTGTCTATATAGGGGATATTGTTCAGCAATAAAGGAAGTATAACTGATGTGTGCTACCCAGCATGGGCCTCAGTCATGATACCAGTTAGAAAAAAGCACTTGGGACTAGGCTGGACTTTTATATATCAGGGTGCTGGGGCTCAGAACTTGGGCCTTTAGATACAAAAGGCTTGGTGCACTGATGTGTATCTATAATCCCAGCACTGGTGAGGCAGAGATAGGAAGTTCCCTAAGGCTTTCTGGGCAGCCATTCTAACCAAATTGGTGAATTCCAGGTTCAGTTTTTTTAAAAAACAAACAAACAAACAAACAAAACACCAATATTTTCTGCTTAAAAAAAAAAAGTGGGGAGGAGGGTAGGGAGCTATTGAGAAATCCACCTACTCTTGACATCTGGTTCCACTCACATGAACATTGGACATGTTTACCCAAACACACAGAGACCACTTTATATGAGTCAGGCACATAGCTTAGTGGTTAGGGCCGTAGGAGTTGGAGGGAGATGGGAAACCACTGCTTGTGCCTGTGGGATTTCCTTATGGAGTGATGCAAATGTTCTGAATTAGGTAGTATCATATCAATAAACATGATAATGTAGACTTGAAATTTTAAAAGATGCACTCATTTTCACTTTCTATGTATGAATGTTTGCCTTTGTGGGGTATGTGCACTGTGTGTACTTTGTACCTGCAGAGGTGAGAAGGTGACACTGGATCTACTAGAACTGGGCTCAGAGTAAGGTATATGTGAACCCAAGTCCTCTGTAAGAGCTCTCAAGCCCTGGATTTATTTTTATATAGAATTCTTATCAAAGGCATTATGTCTGTAAGCATAACTGAATTCTAAAGTTATGCACATTGGTTGCCTGTGAAGAGATTCCATTTTTTTTTTAAGTAAATGTCTATCTTTGCCTATAAAATTGTATTCCATTTTACATATGGAAAGATTGCATATTTTGTGAATAAATAAGTTACAAAATAAAGTACTAATGGGTCCTCTCTTTGATTTATTTTACTCCGACTAGGTTCTTCAAGGATTAGATTATCTACACAGTAAGTGCAAGATAATTCACACCGACATAAAGCCAGAAAACATCTTGATGTGTGTGGATGATGCTTACGTGCGAAGAATGGCAGCCGAAGCCACTGAGTGGCAGAAAGCAGGTGCTCCTCCTCCTTCTGGGTCTGCAGGTGAGGGAGCTGAGCCCTCATCACTTCAGTCTGCTGGGGGCTCGGAGCTTTTGAAGCTGTGCAGTGAAGGCAGCGAGTTGGATGTGTGTACACACTTTAGGCAGCAAGTTGGAAGGTTCATTAGGAACCTTCTCTAAGAGTTTGGGTGTTGAAAATGAGTTTTGCTTGAGATAATGTTTGAGGTTTTTTTTTAACCTCTTTGCTTTATGTTACCTTTGCCCTGTACTAAAAGACTATCTGAATTCTTAGCTGTTGCTTCCTTACATAGACAGGCTCATGCTCTTGTGTGGTCCATGTATCTGTGTAGAGAATACGACAGGTTTCTTGTAGCCTTCTGATTGTTTTCCGATTAGGTTTCACAAAAATGTTTTCTTAAACTAATGTAGCTGCCTCCTTGTCAGTTTAACCGATGCATTTGGTATTAGCTGTGGAAGCTCTGTGGTGGGGGTGGGGGTGAGGGTGGGGGTGGGGGTGAGAGAAGCAGGGACTTGAGCATCGGCATCTTTCTCTTGTGAAGTTGATGGGATTCACTGGGGCGACTGGAATGCCCATGCATCACTTTTGTCTGACTGACAGGGCTCCAGAGAGGTGTGCTGTCGCCTCATCTCGGGACATCGCCATCGTGATATTATCATATTAGCTCATGCCACCAGTGTATGAAGCTTTCGATGCTTGCCAGGATGAATTCGAGCGGCATTGCGCAGTGTGCTGTGCTATGCTGTGTGATTTAGTTTCCTTGTGTGGTGCTTTCTTAGTAGTTTTCAAACATAACCATGCATCTTCTCATCTAACATGTTCATTGCTTTGTTTGTAGAACATGTTTGGTTCTGTGACTGATTTGTAAACTCTTCCATTTTTTTTTTCTTTTTTCTCTGTACTCAGTTTATCAGTGCTTTGAGAGAGGCTGTTTGCAAGAGAAGTGGCTCATGTGCACAGCTGCGCCCATGGCCTGGGATTGCACAGTGTGTTTGAATTGCATAAACCGTTTCTAGGTCCCTGTCTTTAGCAATCTCTGAGGTTAAAGTTTTTCAAAGTTTGATAGTTATTGAAAGACAGTATTATTTCATTTTGCAAATCAAATCCTAAAGGTGTCTGTTTTCCTCTGAATACCCATTTTGTTTTATTTTGTTTTAGTGAGCACGGCTCCACAGCAAAAACCTGTAAGTATTTACATGTATATTCAGCATGTCAAAAGGAACTGCTCGCTCTTGAGCTTCATAAACTATGTAGCAAATATTATAAGCTTCATTAATTTAGAAGTGGGCATGTTTGTAAATGGTCTGTATCATCAAAAAATGCATGATTTCTGCCCTGAATGGGAATAGTCAAAGCTGCTGCAAAGCCTGTCTCCCACTGGGCTCACTTGGCTGCTGTTGGCCTAGTTTGGTTTATTACAAGGCTTTAGTTCAAGTTTAAAATATCATTGTTCCAGAATCTTTTTAACTGACTTCTGCTTGGCCACCAACTATCCTGTTTTGCCAAAAGTGATTGTCATTTTTCATAGCAGGCTGTTTAAATGAAAATGGGCGCTATCTAGTCTGGGGTCCTGTCGAATCACTGAGCCTGCTTGGAAGAGAAGTTCCAAGTCTGATGAATTGTAACAGGGGAGTCCAAATGACTTTCATAGCTCTCCCTGAACTTCAGGGTTTGGGTTTATGGGTCTATGAAACTTTGCAGGCACTTGTTGCTGAGACTTATGGCTGTAGCTTGAGGCAGACAAAACTGTGGCTTTTCCTTTTTTGCTTTTTTATATCATCTGCTTATTTCTGAAAGTTCATGGTATATTGGCTGTTGTTCACAGCTTGGTATTAGAGCCAAACTCAGACACAGTGCTGTTGGCACCTGTCTTGGCAGGTGTTTGTTTTTGTTGTTAAGGAGTGAAACTGATTCTGGATACAGGCAGCAGCAAGGAAAGCTTGCAAGAGAAGATTCTTGCTCAAAGCCAGGTATTTCACCATGCTTAGCTCTCCTAGACTTTTCTCACAGAAGTTAGGGGGAACACTAACAGTGTGAGCACAGTCCTACCCTAAGATGGCTCTTCTGGCTGGGTTAGTGAGGATTACTGAGTATGTTGTAGAAAAGCACAGTTGGATTTACCATGTTACCAACACGTAAACTCCTGAAGAGTGTTTTAAAGAGTGCTTTTCTGGCCCATGACATCATATGCCCACCTGACCCATACTTTCTTATCATGTTGTAGATAGGAAAAATATCTAAAAACAAAAAGAAAAAGCTGAAAAAGAAACAGAAGAGACAGGCTGAATTGCTGGAGAAACGCCTACAGGAGATTGAGGAATTGGAGCGAGAAGCTGAAAGGAAAATCCTAGAGGAGAACATCACCTCTGCAGAAGCTTCCAGTGAGCAGGATGGAGAGTACCAACCGGAGGTGAAACTAAAAGAAGCTGAGTTAGAGGACACAACTGAGGAAGAGACAGCCAAGGATAATGGTCAGTACTGCTCAGAGCAGGAGGGAGGGCTGCTGGGTGTGCAGGAGCTGTACACCTGGATTGTCCCTGAGCCAGAGTATCTTAAGTGTATATAACACAGATACAGATGCCTTAGGTACTAAGGATAGCTTTCTCTAACTCCTTGTTGGAGATGATGGGAAGCAGCTGATACTCACTTATGAAATGTCTTTAGTGCAGCACAGATCTTATTCTAGAACGGCAGAAGAAAGGGTTAATGGCTGGAGAAATGGATCGGTAGTCTTGCAGAGGAACCGTGTTTGGTTCCCAGTACTGCCAGTGCCATGTTGCTCACAGCTGCTTATAACTCCAGCTGTTCATGAGTGTGTTCACACACACACTCACACAATTTAAAATGAAAAAAAATGTTTTTTTTTGTTGTTGGTCCCCAAGGTTTTTAAAAACATTCTTTTTGTACTAACTTTTTAAAAGTGCCATCTTAAGGGCACACAGCACATTCCAGAGTTGAGATAGACTGATTGGCAAAATGGCTGGAAAGTCAGGATTCAATTCCTGGGACCCATACAACATAAATTCATTCAGTACACAAATAGGCCGGGCATGGTGGCATACACATTTAATTACAACACTAGTGGGTTGAAGGCAGGTGGATTCCTAGTTCGAGGCCAGCCTAGTCTACTGAGCAAGCAGTGCCACAGAGAAACTCTGTCTTAAAAACAACAAAAAACAAACAAACAAACAAACAAAACAAAAAACCACAGTCTTAATACCCTGACTTCTGTGAAAAGAATGTTTCACATACTTCCAGTTTCCCATGTACCCAGAACAGAAGTTCTCAGATTAATTTCCAACAATACCTCTTAGAATCCAAAAATTCTACCCATAGAGCAGACAACAAACAGGAAAACCAAAACCTGGAGGCAGTTCTGCAACTTTATTTGACATTTAACAGATTAGTTCTCATCCACATTGACTGTAAATTTTGAATGTGGCACGTAAGTTACCAACGTGTAGAGCTTGTTTGGTGAATCTGCATCCTCACTACGTTTTCTGGACAAACGTACTCGGATGCGATATGGGACATTCCTTATTCTCTTGGCCCAGATGGGTTATTGAGCCTGGTGTCAATGCGCACATCTGGAGTCCCCGTGTCCTTCATGGCAGACTTCCGAATTTCTTATTTCTTTGCGTGCCCAAGGAGCACTATTTTTGAAGCCCACTCTGTGGATGCGCTTGTGAATGTTGATGGTGTATTCTCAGGTCACCACCTCATTGATGGCAGAACGGCCCTTCTTCTTCTCGCCACCCTTCTTTGTGGGAGCCATTTTGCTAGGCCCAGGTTCTAAAATGAAAATCTTAAAGATCAGGAACAGTAAGCTTCTTTGACAAAAAGAAGAAAAAGAAGGGATTGAAGTGAAAGTCCAGTTTTACTTGTAACTCCCTCCCCCCAACCCCCAGAGCTAACTTGTCCTGACTAGAAGGCTCATTATTAAATAAGCAGAAACAAGACGTAGAAAGCTACCTTGCCTTGACAAATAAAAGACATGTTCTGGGCTACATTAGAAGTGGCTCTTAGCTGGGCATGGTGGTGCATGTGCAGGCCTTTGATCCCAGCACTTGGGAGGCAGAGGCAGGCAGATCTCTGAGTTAAAGGCCAGCTTGGTCTACAGAGTCTTGGAGGAAGGCCAGAGCTACACAGGAAACCCTGTCTTGAAAAACCAAAACTAAAAAAATATAAGGAAGAGGATCTCTTGGTGGGAGGCCTGACTAGTACTGTTGTGCAACCAGAGGCATGACTCAAAATCTTAACCCATCTTCTTTAAGGTCAAGTTGAAGACCAGGAAGAGAAAGAAGATGCAGAGAAGGAAAACACTGAGAAGGATGAAGATGATGTTGAACAGGAACTTGCAAACATAGACCCTACGTGGATGGAGTCCCCTAAGGCCAATGGCCATATTGAAAATGGCCCGTTTTCCCTGGAGCAGCCACTGGAAGATGAAGAGGATGATGAAGATGACTGTGCAAATCCCGAGGAGTATAACCTGGATGAACCAAATGCAGAGAGTGATTACACTTATAGCAGCTCCTATGAACAATTCAATGGTGAATTGCCAAACGGACAACATAAGAGTTCCTCCGAGTTTCCCACACCGTTGTTTTCTGAGCCCTTAGAACCTGTGGCCTGTGGTTCTGAGCTTTCAGAGGGATCGCCACTTACAGAGCCGGAGGAGAGCAGTCCGTCCCATGACAGAAGCAGGACAGTTTCAGCCTCCAGTACTGGGGACTTGCCAAAAAGTAAGTGCCCTTCCTTCTGTATCTCTGTCTGCTTGCTCTGGGTAGAGTCACACCTAGGACAGACTGACAACAGTTGACTGGAGGACAAGAGCACCTCAGCCCTTACACTTTAATTCTTGCATATTCAAGAACAAGCACAATGCTCTAGACTATATCTTGTCCTCTAGGCTTTCTCTTACTCTCTGAAATCCTATTCCTGGGCTTCATTTATTGGGTATTTATTGAATGACATCAGATAGTTAAAATGCCTTCCACCATTACCAGACTCATAGCTTTCTGGACACAGCCCTCTTCTAGCTGGTAGTAGTAGTTTTGGGTTTTCTTTCTGTTCGAGGGAACACCTGCCTGCTTTCAGCTATACCAAGAGACAACTTGTGTTTTATTTGATAGTTGTCCTTGTTTTGTTTTGTTTTTTTGAGACAGTGTTTCTCTGTGTAGCCCTGGCTATCCTGGAACTAACTCTGTAGACCAGGCTGGCCTCGAACTCAGAGCCTGCCTTGGCCTCCCAAGTGCTAGGATTAGAGGTGTGTACCACCACTGCCTGGCTATAGAACCCTGCTTTTAATAAAGCATAATAACAGATTATAGATTGGCTCTTAGATTCTTGTCTACCTGAGGCCCTATCTTCAAACCCATATTTTTGGTGTAAGTGCCATATGGCTAATTGAAGAATAACTTAAGGGAAATTGAATATCACAGTTGATTTTTATTCTGGCTCTTAATGAAAAAGTTCAGTAACCTTCCTATGCCCACAGAGCACACGGTAACTGATTGAGCCACCCTGACCAATAGCCAGGAGACTCTGCAGCCTCTCCCGGCTATAATGAGCTGTCTTAGTCTTGGTATTGCTTACTTGGCAGTGCTTGGTTTATGCCTTACCCTTGGTCTGGCCAGAAGAAAAGAGAGACTCATTTCTGGGAAAAGGTGGCAGAGAATTGTATCTTCTCTGTATTTATTGTTTCTTTTGCAGCTGATTTTCACATATAAAGCAAATTTTACCATAGCTTTTCATTATTTTTCATGTGATAATTTAGGACAGTAGCTTTTTATTATTATTTATTTATTTATTTATTTTATGTATGTGAGGACACTGTAGCTGTCTTCAGACACACCAGAAGAGGGCATCAGATCCTATTACGGTTACGGTTGTGAACCACCGTATAGTTGCTGGGAATTGAACTCAGGACCTCTGGAAGAGCAGTCAGTGCTCTTAACCGCTGAGCCATCTCTCCAGCCCTAGGCAGTAGCTTTAAATATAGAAAACTGGATTCCAACTTAATAATCATGGGACTTCAGTTTCTTAACCTCAATCTACTTCAATTTCTTTTTTTATTAAAAGGAAGTAATGGCCACATCTGGTGGTGTTACCAGTGATGCAAATTATATGTGAACTGTTTTTTTTTGTTTTGTTTTTTCGAGACAGGGTTTCTCTGTGTAGTTCTGGCTGTCCTGGAACTCACTCTGTAGACCAGGCTGGCCTCGAGCTCAGAAATCCGCCTGCCTCTGCCTCCCAAGTGCTGGGATTAAAGGCGTGTGCCACCACCGCCTGGCGTGAACTGTTTCAGTACATGTGCCTTGGTTGTTTAACCTCTCCCAACAGCTATACTTGTTGCTGTGTCACATTGCCAGTGTCTGAGGCCCAGGATCGGTGGACAGCTCAGCATAGTCTTGCTAAGAGCTCATAGGTCCTGGTCCTTGGATTTATTCTACCTACCACATCATTTATTCTGGGAAGCCAAGATAGGTAGATACAGGTTAAAGCCTGAAGAGAAATAAATTTTTTAAAAAAAATTTATGTGTATCGGTGTTTTTGTATGCATGTATGAGAGTGTCAGATGCCCTGGAACTGAAGTTCCTGACAGTTGGGGCTGCTATGTGGGTGCTGGGAATTGAACCCAGATCCTCTGAAGACTAGCTGATGCTCTCAACCACTGAACAATCTCCCCAGCACCCAGAAAGAAGTACTCATTTAAAAAAAGAGAATTTATAATTATAATGAGTGAGTGAGGAAGTGTTCTAACTTAGGCAAAATCTAAAATTCCAGTGCAGAAAGATTATTGAATTCAAAACTCATCATTTTCATGTAAAGAATGTTTGGGCCCGGAGAGAAAGGTGATCTTACCTGTTGATTGGCAGGCAGGATGCTGTGTGGCTGCCTTGCCTGCTTTGTCTTGGCAGAAGTGGACAACAACTCACACTTGGGCCCTCCTGTGTCCCCCAGTAGTTCTGGCTTCCTTTGCGGTTCGTGCTTGTTCTGCTGTTGTTGTCCTTTTAGGAAGTTCTGGATCTTCCGTGTGTGTTACTCTGATTTCTCTTCTTACCTTGGTCTTATAACTCTTCCCGTGAACTCTTCCAGTGACTGGTCTGTGCCTGCCCATGGTTTCCACTGGCTTCTGTGGCATTGCTGGTTCAGTCCCTGTGTGATCGATCAGCAAGTGAATCCTGAAAAGCAAGTGGCGTGAGCTGTGACATGAGCTATCGTGGGGGAGCAGCATTGTAGGAGTGCTCTTCAGTGTCATCTGCACTCGTTCTCTTCCATCATAGACCCTGTACGGTGGCCTCTGTCAGCTTGACACAAACAGGTCACCAGGCAAGCAGGCACCTTAGTTGAGGAATTGCTTCCATCAAGTCGGCCTCTAGGCCTGGCTGTGGACATGCTCTTAATTAAGAACTGAGGTGAGGAGGCTCATCTGTCTCACTGTGGATGGCACCACTGCTGGCCAGGTGGTTCTGGGCTGTACAAGAAAGACAGTTAGATAAACCATAGGGAGGAAGTCTGTAAGAAGCATTCCTCTGTGGTCTTTGCTGGAGTTTCTGCCTCTGGATTCCTGCTTGAGTACCTGCCCTGATGTCCTTCAGTTATGGTATATGATGTGGAAGTGTTAGCCAACTAACCCCTTTCCTCTTTCAAGTTGGTTTGGTTAGTGCTTTATTACAGCAACAGAAAGCAATCTAGGCCACCCTTGCCAGCCCTTTCTCAAAACAGGCCCCTCCTTGCTCTGGCCATGAGGCACGGGCCTTTTTTGGCTATATTGCTTCAGAAATTTGCTGTTACTATCTCTGTATTGTTCCTAGCTACCTTCCTGATCCTGACTTCTTCCAAATCACTCTTCCAGCTTGTTGCTAGAGGTTGGTTATTTATTTATTTATTTATTTATTTATTTCTTTATTTATTTATATGAGTACACTGTCACTGTCTTCAGACACACCAGAAGAAGGCATCAGATCCCATTACAGATGGTTGTGAGCCACCAAGTGATTGCTGGGAATTGAACTCAGGACCTCTGGAAGAACAGTCAGTGTTCTTAACCACTGAGCCATCTCTCCAGCCCAGCTGCTAGAGTTCTGTTTGTTTGTTTGTTTGGTTGGTTTGTTTTGTTTTGTTTTTTGTTTTGTTTTGAGACAGGGTTTCTCTGTGTAGCCCTGGCTGTCCTGGAACTCATTCTGTAGACCAGGCTGGCCTCGAACTCAGAAATCCACCTGCCTCTGCCTCCCAAGTGCTGGGATTAAAGGCGTGCGCCACCACCGCCCGGCACTGCTAGAGTTTTAAATCACACTAATTAGATAAATTCCCTTGTTCCTACTTCTTCATAGCTCTTCATGGCTCCCAGCAGTCCTTTCCACAGTGGTACATTTGCCTACGGGCAACAGAGCAGTCAACTGACGTACAGAAATGAATTAAAGCCTCTGTTTTAAAACTTTGAAAGTCTAGCGCAATAAATTCCTATATAGCCTCCACTTTTATTTAGTGTTAATATTTAAGCATTTATCAGAGGAATGAACTAAAGATGATTTTGTTACTCAGTCCTTGCGCAGCTCTTCTCTTTAGTTTGAAAATTGTCTTTTATTTTCTCTGATCCAGGGTATGATAGAGCAGTGTACCCCCCACCCCCCCAACCCCCCCAGGAAGCAAGCTTTGTGTTGTCTTTGCTATTATAGAGAACAGTAGAAGACAGGCTGCGGCAAATTATGTTATTTGAAGAACTTAGATGCCAGGTGGCAAGATGTAGACTCTGGAGTCATTTGATGGCCTTTGAAGGATGAGATGGGATTTGTCTTAGGTCACTGGCTGCTAGAGCAGCTCGTGGATGTATCTTGTCTCATGACATCAGAAGATGTCATAGAGCAGAATGGTCTTGTTAAGTGTGCCTGCTTGGTCCATGTGGAGCCCTTACTTTACAGTCCTCTCAGTCTGTCCTTGTTAGACTGCCACTGTGTGGAACTTGTATTTTAGGTCTCGAGCCTTACATATGTATCCTTTTATACATACCTGTTATCCTCTCCCTGCTCCCCGAATGATGTAACTAGCTTTTGTTTCCCACATAGCAGGAAACTCTGAGTGTCCCTCCTTTGATGCTCAGCTCTCCTGCCTGCTTCCTAACAGCATGCCGATGCCCTGTACTGCTCTGGCTGCTGGGTCTTTTCAAGTGTTACAAGTTGTATGCTTGACTGTGGATAGCACTCTATGCAGTACCTAGCTCCTGCCCAGAATGTCTCAGCCTTTCATCCAGTGCTGCCTTCCCAGGCATTTTTCTCAGGTTGGCAAGATGGGGCTCATTAGGTAAAGTCACTTGCCTCCAAACCTGAAGTCCCCAGAACACACAGAGGTTTGTGTGATCTCCAAGTAAGTAAGTGCTATGCCCCTCCCTCCACAGCACATAAATAAATGTGAAAAGAGAAAAGCAGATTTTCAATATTGCATTCATAGCTAACTCTCTTCTTAGTTTTGATTTCTTTGAGGCATATCTAGTTTTCTGACATGTTACATGCATTGCTCGTGTACTTACAGTATTTTTTAGTTTTTCAAGATAGAGTTTCTCTGCATAGTCCTAGCCAGCCTCAAACTCCTATCTGCCTGCCTCTGCCTCCCTAGTGCTGGGATTAAAGGTGCGCACCCCCACACCCAGCTCTTATTGTCTATGTTGTCAGCCAGTGCATGACATGAGTTTCCTAATTTGAGTGTTTCTTTTTATTGACTTAATGTCACCAAAGTGGCACATTGAAGAGGTTTGGAAAGTATTCGTTAAAGGAATGGGTCAGGCATTGTCATTATCTGCTCTAGCTCTGCCTCTCATCTAGATAGAGAGGCTGTTTGTGTCTGTGTTTTAGGGTGTTCCAGCGCTTCCTGCCACTTGTATTCATGTGTTGGACCTAAAGATCTAAAGCCAGGGGATGCGCTCCCCCAGAAACAATCACTGACGGGATTTGCTGCAATAACATGAGGTTTATTGATAAATTGATAAAAACCAGAGCACTAGAGTTCCCTCGAATGCATGCAAGAAGAACCCCTGATTAACACTAAGGGCATTTCACAGAATTCACAAGGACAATTAATTACTTTTAAAACAATAACTATAGAGGATTTCTAAGTAACTCAAATTTGCACCTTTTACAACAAAGAAGGTTAGCTTAAGTGGCTTCTGTTTACCCAGGTGCACTGTGTTAAGGGCTCATCCCCTTGTTAAACTCTTATCTTGGACCCCTCTTAGTCTCTGGAATATGCTTCTCCCAGGATGTGTCCTGGGGCAGTTAATTCTTGAGTTTACCCAAACCTGAGATTCTTGAGACCTGAAATTCCTACACATGCTCCAGTGGAAACAGGGACACGTTTCTGGCGCCATTTTCATTCTGGAAGGGAAAGATTGCCAGTAGATCATTTGTTGCTATGACAGGTCGCCATGGGAGTGACTTAATCTAAGGAGGCAGCCTTGTTTCAGGCACACTTAGAATGATTGTGTAGCAGGTGTGTGTGAGTATATCTGTGTTCACGTGGGCTTTTTTTCTTGTTTCTCCCCTCACCCTGATCCGGATCACGTTGAGAAAGAAAGATACTGCACAAGCAGATTCTGTTTTACCTCTGTGTGGCTGTCTGGCCCAAGTTGATCCGTAAGCTGAGAGAAAGCCTGGAGAGGTCAAATGTGGACTCAGCAAACTGGTGATTTCGGAGCCCACCCCAGGATTCCTCAGATGGCTTAGGTCCTGTTAGCCCTCCTGTAGTCCCCACTGCTGTTAGCAAAGCTGGCCTTACTTCCTATATGAAATCTACCAACACTATGGCTCCTCAATTTCAGTACACCCTGAACGAGCTTAGTGCTCTTAAGCAGCAACTTGGCATGAACAAAAGGATCCCCAACAAGGGCATTAATGTTGTACACTGAGCTGGATTTTCTGTTTAGTCTGTAAATTCCACTTCAGTATGACCCAAACTGTAAGTGTGTAGGGCTCAGATTGAATGTGAAGATGAGTGTAGTTACAATTGAGTTAGGGCTTAACTGAGAACTTTTCCTCAAGCTGGAAACCCCAGGCCTGGACCTGCTATAGAGACTGCTTCAGGGTCATCCCACAGGTGAGCCATCTGAACTAATGAGTTGCCCTAAAGCCTGTCTTCATGGTTCACTTCAACTCAGGAGAACACTAGTTTGACATCTCCCTTGTTCAAAACTAAGTCATAAAAGGTTAGCCTCTGCCTATAATTTAGTTTGCTAATCAGTTGTCATGTGACACTTGATGTCTGAGTGCTCACTTAGCTAAGGAAGCTGGAATAGGGGTGATGTCCTCCTTAAGGGGCTGCTTATGCTCAGATGGCACTGGGCGAGCTGCTTAAAAGTGATAGGTCACCTGTGCTTATCTTTCTGTGGCTTTCACCAGTGAGTTGAATACAAGCCAGGAGGAATGGTCCCAGTTGCAGGGTTCTATTCCACCTGGCAAACATTATGCTCACACATGCACACCTCTTGTTCCCAGTGCTAACTCTTTTGCTGTTTGCTCATGGCAGCAAAAACTCGGGCAGCTGACCTGTTGGTGAACCCTTTGGATCCACGGAATGCAGATAAAATTAGAGTAAAAATTGCTGACCTGGGAAATGCTTGTTGGGTGGTAAGTAGAGTTTTCTTTTTACATTTTAATTGTGATTTTATGTGAGAAGATGCCTTTTTTTTTTTTAAAGTATTTATCACATCTGTTTCTTTCCAGCATAAACATTTCACAGAGGATATCCAGACACGTCAGTATAGGTCCATAGAGGTTTTGATAGGAGCAGGCTACAGTACACCTGCAGACATTTGGAGTACAGCATGCATGGTAAGAATGGCCTTTGCCACTTTCTTCTCTAGAAACTGGCTTCTCCTTAATGCTCTTGATTGGGTGGAGTCTTGTTGGAGATCATGGGTGAGAAGATAGAAACGGTGCCTGGGTGGTTAAGCATTCGGAGAATTCTCTGGTGGTTCAGGCTCCTTGTCACATCATGGGGTAGAATCAGATGCCTTCTCCCAGGAGAGGTTGACGGTACTTGTAAGTTTGCACCACTGGCACATGGCCTCTACAGATGCAGGCTCTCTATTCTCCTTCTACCAAGAAGAGATTTTTCTGTCTATGATGCATAGTTGCCTTCATCTAACGCAGATGCAGTATCTTGGCTTCTTTTCTGGCTGTGCCAGCACTCCTCAGACGGTAGTGGTGACACACACTTCCTTGGTTGGAGTCTGTTTTTCTAGGAATGTAAGTGGCACTTTCCTGACTGCAGGAGGGACATCCTTTTGGCTTGGGCAGTCTCAGGTTTTGTCTTTCTAGACTCACCACGCATCTTGTGTACATGTGTGTGCAGGCACATGTACACATATATTCACATGGATGTAAAGGACAGAGCTCACTCTTACGTGTTTTCATGAAAGCTCCTGATTAGGTTAGGCTTGCTAGTGAGTGAGCCCAGGGCTTGTTTGATATCTGCCTTTCCAGAGCTGGTTCTGCAAGAGTGCTGCCATACCCTGCCTTCTTATATGAGTTCTGGAGATCACACTCATGGGCTTCCATAGCACACACGTTATCAACTGAGCCATTTCTCAGCCCAACGTCTTTCTTTTTCTTTTTTGAAATGTAGCCCAAGCTGCTCTTAAAACAGCCTCCTGAGTGCTGAGATTACAGGCATGGCCACTACACCAGGCTTTGTGCATCTTCTTGTCATCTTTTCTAAACTGTCAATTGATAAGCACAAGTAGCCCCACACTCAGGAGCCAGAACCAGTGTGTCTTCACCATGCATCCCAGCCAGCTTAGCACCTTCTTCTCAGTGGGATGTTTGTTGTTCTTTGATGGAAACGGTGACGTGTGTAGCTTCTGCTGCTGCCATATTTACCCTACTTTATTTTCTTGTAGTTCTAGGGTAGAACTCAGAGATTCACAAGGCAACTGTTTTTCCAATTGAATCATATCCTCAGATCTTGTATTAATTTTTATAGAATTTTTCTTTGGATATCTAAATGAAAGGGCTTCTATTCAAGGCCTAGTAATGGAGGGGTAGGGGTTAGTGGAGGGGATGGGAGAGAGAAGGCAGAATAAATATGGTGGCTACCTGTTCAACTCAATTAGCAATTGTTTTCAGTCTTCTGTATGTTGTGAGTGTTAGTTGTAATATAAAAGTATTTTAAGCATTTAAATTTTTTTATAGTGTTTGTGAGTTGTTTTGCCTGCATGTATGTATGCGTTGTGCATGCCTGGTGTCTGTGGAGGTCAGAAGAAGAGTATCTGGTTCCTTGGGCCTGGTGTTACATTAAACTGCCCTGTTTATGCTAGGCCATGAACCTAGGTCCTCTGTGAGAGCAGCAAGTGTGAAAGCACTGTGCTAAGCAGATAACACTGGAGGGCATGGAAAACCCAGCTGCTTTCCTCCTTAAGTTGTCACCTGAGATGTTTGATGCAGCCAGAGAGGAAATATGGTGGGTTCCTGAACTCCTGTCCTGATAATTCTAGAAAATAATTTTAAAATTCTTAAAAACTTTTGTTTTTCAATGAGAACCAAAAATCCAGTTCTTAGTGGCTAAAAGACGGTCCCTGGGACAGTTACTTTGAATTTTGAGGACACTGTAAGGACAGGTTTTTTGTTTTTCAATTCGAGGATAAAGGGAAGCGGAAGCTAAAACCACAGGAGGCAGAAGGAGAGGAGAGCAGATGACCCTCTGTGTGTGTGTGTGTGTGTGTATGTGTGTGTGTGTGTGTGTGTGTATTCGTACAGTTACTCCATTTCAGGTAGTGGCAAAGCCAGTTTCTGTCTATCCTCAGCAATACTGAAGGCCATGTGCCAAGGCCGCCATGGATCAGGCTCTGAGAACTCCTTGAACCCTGAAATGTCACACTTTTAATTTTGGTGATGTAAACCGGAGAAGTCATTCAGCAGCACAGGCGTGTGGAATGGCGGTGCTGCTGCTGCTGTCACCTGCTGTCACCAGGCTGGCTGTCCCGCCTCCTGTGGGTCTTGTCCCTCCCTGTGCTCTGTCCTTTCACCATGGGCTTACTGTAGGCGGCATAAGACATCAAGGAGATGTTGCTTCTGTCTCATTTGCCTCCCCTTTCCAGGAGTGCTTCTGGTGACGGCAGTGCTCCTAGGCAGTGCTCCTAGGGCTGCTTAGCGCTGTCTGTCAGTCAAGTGGCCATGGACGGGTATTTTTCAAAGTAACAAGTCTTTGTTCCTTACCTGCAAGGTTGTGACTGAGAGCTTACTTGCTTTACTTAGAGAACAAGCCATAGAGAAGTCATATTTGCCTACCCTTTTTACCCCGAGGTTAAATTTGTGCTCATAATGCCCAGCCTGGATAAGGTCATGGATTGTTATTGTAGAATTCATCACCCGTCCAGTTTTACATCTGGAATGTCTCTAACAGAGGCTGCACTGGAGAAGAGGGTGTGGGTGGTGATGGGACCCCAGCTGCTGCCAGGAGGAGGGTTGGCCTTTGTAGTGGGAGAGGTATGACCGAGTGAGGAAGGGCCAGTTCACAGCTTTGGGGGTCTTCTACTGTAAATGTGTAGTGCAGATTGACACACAGCTCCAGTGCTGAGGTGTTACCTCTTTGTATTCATGTGCTCTTGTACAAATGGGTGAGCTCTTATGTGTCCATGGTGAGTCCTGACCATGATCAGAATAAAAAACAAACTGAATTCTGACACACTTCCCTACGAATTCAGGATTTCAGCACTACACATCATGACCTGGGTGAGGCAGAGAGAAAGAGGCTCCTGCTTGCTCAGTAGGGGAAAGCCCCTCAAAAGGGACTAGACCAGAACAGAAGGAAGACTCCAAAGTTGTCAAATAGTGAGTATTAGTAATTCAACTTACTTTAGGGAACAGCTTAGTAAGTAGAAGGCAATAATGTTTCCTGTTCCCACAGCTGCTAACCTTATAATACTCTATGACACGCCCACCCCACCCCACCCCCACCCACAAACTGCCAGTGTTTTCATTGTCCTGTGTGTTTGCCCTGCTGTTGGTCGTAATGAGGAGTCCCGTCACTGTCCAGAGGGCGTTCTCCTGCCCTCTGCTGCTACTAACTCTCGCTCTTTTGTTTCCCTCCTCTTCTTATTTTTTTTACAAAAGATTTATTTTTATTTTATATATATGGATGCTTTGCCTGCATGAATATCTGTGTACCACATGGACGCAGATTCCATGGAGGCCAGAAAATGGTATCAACTCGTGGAACTGGAACTACAGATGGTTGTGAACCCACTACATGGGTGCTGGAACCTGAACCCTGGTCCTTTAGAGCAGCCAGTGCTCTTAACTGCTTAGCGTCTCTCCAGCCCCTCCCCTCCCCCCTCTCTTTCTTTAAAATTAATTTCCTAGCCTTCTTTAAGCACTGCATTGCAAGCCCAAATGCTGTTCAAAATACTTACCTTTTAAAGAGCACGTGTCTGATGACGTTAGTGCAGAGCAGTGAACCGTGTCTGTAATGGAAAGGATGAACTAACGAGAGACGAGCAGGCAGCCAGGATGTCCTTGGAACCAGGTCACAGGTGCTCCCAGCTTCTCTTTCGTCCTGTCAGGGCCTCCAGATTTGCCTCCTGGCTTGCAGATTATTGAATTGTTTTACAGACACAAAACATTCTTATCCACTTGGAATTGGAGCCACATTTGTCTTTCCATGATGAGAGATTGGCCCGGCCGCCATGATTGTTAAATGTTAATTGGGTATTAGATGGTACTTGGGTGGCTAGGGAAGAGCCCCAAGCTAGGCTGGCTGGCTGCAGCTGTGGTGCTGGGCTGCCAGGCTGTCTTCTACGGAGATGACATTGCTGTGCCCTGTTAGAGCCAAGGCTGCTTCAGAATAGGGTCTGGAGTTTATACTCATCACACAGGCAGCTGATGACAGTTTTGCTATCTTGTTTTTCTACTCCTCAATCAGTAATAATCACCAATCATGTCTTTAAAAATCAAGGATATGACTGCCCTGTTAGTTAAAGACAGCTACCACCCAGTAAAGGCCTCTCAAGGAGCGCGTTCACATTCTGCCTGGCCATTCCAAGGAAGAAAGAGGAGGTCTAGTGTTGGAACAGCGCTCAGCAGGAATGGGAAAAACCATCTCACAGGAAGGAGAGGTGTTGTTGGCATGGCCACTTAGTTACAAATGCCAACAAGCAGGGAGAGCTTTACCATGGCAGCATGAAGTATGGGGGAAACTAGAAATGGGAGTTAACCTTTAAAAGACATAAGTTGATGATTACTGTCTTTGTACATCTTACAAAATGGGTGCTGAGCAAAGGAAGTTTGGGGAGTGAAACTGAGTGGGCCTCCCTCCACGCTGAATTACTGGGGTGGGGCGGGGAGTGGGTGGCAGCATGGGTGGTGGTGCTCCCTGCTGTCTGAAGAGGGCCTGCAGTGTGCTTTGCTGCATGTGGTGGAAGGGAAGGGCCTCTTGTTTCTAGGTGTTCCTCTGATTGGTTAGAGGAGAATGAAATGATGACGAACTAGAGCAACAGGCTGGACCCTTTTCCTCCGTGTGTGGGGAAGGCAGCGCAGCGCCTGCTCTGTGGGGCCTCGGATGCACACAGGCCTGCTTGAGTCCTAAACCTACCTTATTGTGCTCTGGCAGACACTGCAGTATGCAGCCACCAGAGCTACAGCTGGCTCTCCGCTAGCTTTGTTCTACTTGTGCAGTGTGCAGAGAGCCAGAGCTTCCCTCTCCCATTAGATGACATAAAGATACCCCTGCAGCTTCTGTGGACTTCTTGGGAAGAAAGGAAAGCTAGAGGTTGAACTGTCCTGGGACGCACTTTGGTTTGCTTTTAGTCCTCTGCAGATCTAGGCTTCCTCTGTAGACAGAGCTGCTGGCTCTTGAGCCATCTCTGGAGTGCTCAGCATGTCGTCTGTTGTATCCTAGGCTTTTGAGCTGGCCACAGGAGACTACTTGTTCGAACCACATTCTGGGGAAGACTACTCCAGAGATGAAGGTGAGTGCTGGCTGCCTGCTGAGTCCCTTGATGTGAGTCTGCTCCTCCAGAACTTCTAGAGAGTTCCATTTGTATTTTTTTACTGAAACAGCCATGCTTTGGTTTTCAAACACCAAATTCATATGCTTTTCCTTTGAGTTTGAAGCCCCCTCAGTGCCAGTGACTGGGCAGTACCCACCTGACATGGCTTTGCTGGCCTCCTGGTGGGAGGAACCGAGCTGGTGGGTGAGGACTGACTCCTGAGGCCCCAGGGCCTCTCTGTAGTTTCTTTGTCCACAGCTCTGCTGCCCATTTTGCTGTCATGTTTGGTAGCTCAGTTGAAAACCAGGGAATTCAGGCTTGAATTCCTTCTGTAAACCTGACCATCTCCATGCTTTCTTGCTTGCAATGCTGGGGTGGCCTGGGGTGCACTGGTGTCAGCCACTTTTGGTGCTCCAGTTGGTGCTCCAGTTGGTGTCTGAAGCCTGACAGCCCCACAGACCTCTGCATGGATGTGCTGCAGACGTTGTTGATTTGAATCGATTTCTGAGTTTTACTAATTTCCCTCTCCCTTCCTCCTCCCCTCCTCCCCTCCCCCCTCCCATGTCCCCTCTGCTCCCCTCCCCCCTCCCCCTCCCATGTCCCCTGTGCTCCCCCCTCCCCCCATGTCCCCTGTGCTCCCCCCTCCCATGTCCCCTCCGCCCCCCCCCCATGTCCCCTCTGCTCTCTCCTTGTAGACCACATAGCCCACATCATAGAGCTGCTAGGCAGTATCCCGAGGCACTTTGCTCTGTCTGGAAAATATTCTCGGGAATTCTTCAATCGCAGAGGTAGTACCTCTTCTCTTTGAAATGTGCCATGATGCAGACAGAAATGGAACAGCTGCAGCAGCAGCAGCAGCAGCAGCAGCAGCAGCAGCAGCAGCAGCGACCAGAGCAGTTCTTCTAAATTCCAAAAGCAGCCGAGCAGAATATCTGTGCTGGTGTAAATGCTGACTGAAGACTGAGTCTGGGCTGTGATGTGCTCACTCTGTACACTGGTCCCTTCTTGGTGCCCGGGGACAGCTGGGTGCCCTTAGCTCTGAGTTCTGAATCAGTTGGACAAAAGCCATTTGGGTCGCACTCCGTTTCTGTCTGTGCGGGCAGTAACCATGTCTGCATGCAGTGTACTGATTAAACTGTCATGTGTTTCTGTTTTGCTGGCAATGTTTCCCAATGCAGATCACATAGCATTGATCATTGAACTGCTGGGGAAAGTCCCTCGAAAATACGCTATGTTGGGGAAATATTCCAAGGAGTTTTTCACCAGAAAAGGTAACGGTACTTATGCAACACTAATTTTCAGCATGATCTTCTCCCAAAAGGAGAAATTGTGCATTCATATTTGAGCAGTGGAAAAGATCAAGACTTTTCAGCTGGGGAATTCTGCTGAAGAAGAAGGTACTCAGAAAATCATCAGGAACTTTGGTATCTATAGAGTGAAACTTTTATTTATTTATTTTTAAAAAAAGCAGGCTTCCAGCAATCGTTTCTCAAACAACTGCCTTTTAACTACACTCCAAGAACCTTGAGTATATTCACAGATTTGTAGAAAGGACTTCAAGGGAGTTTTGAAAAATAACTAGATTCAGCTGGATATGATGACTCACCCCTGTAATCCCAGTACTCAGAGCCTGAGACTGGGGAGTCAAGAGTCCAAGGCCAGCCTAGATTATAAACTAACAAAGCTAGACTTGTCTTTGTCTTAGTCGTTAAAGAGACATGCGTTTCATAAATGGCCATGGTCATTTTCTCGAGTGTGTCTGAGCTCTTGGCATTGTGTAGGCCTGTGAAATGCTGTGGCCATGTACTTTGGGTTATGTAGATTGCCCCGTGTGTGGCTGACTTTAATGTCATTCTGTAGTTCACAGGTTGTACCAGTCCTTAAACATACCTCCAACAGTGTGTCTCTCCCCTCACTCTAAAGAATGACTCCTCAGAAAAACCTGGGAGAAGGGGGTTTGGGAACTCAGGGTCATCCTCAGCTACATTGAACATTAGAGGTTAACATGGGCTGTGTGAGATCCTGCTGATGACAACAAAACCCTTCTCAGATGCTGTTGTCTTGGGAGCCTGCTTTTACCAGCTTAGATCAGTTGTGTTTACATCCTCCGTTAAAGTTTGCTCAAGGCCCTGGAGTAGAATTGGCTGGTAAAGCTGGTGCTGTATAAGCTTGAAGGCTGGGCTCAGTCCCAGTTCTTCCATAAAGGCTGGATTGGTGCATGCACTTGTTGTCCTGGAGCTGGGAACATAAAACACTGGAACTCTGGGGCTCTCTAGTCAGCCAGCCTCCAGCCATGTTGAGCTCCAGGCCCCAGTGGGAGATTGGACTCCAAAGACCAAATGGTTCCTAAGGAGTAAACACCCTCAATTGTCCTCTGCGCACATGAACACCACACACACACACACAGAGCTTGAGTAGGATATAGAGTGCAGTCCAGGTTATTTTATTTTAACCCCCTTCCTTCCTTCCTCGCCTCATCTTCCGTTCTAAATTACACTTTATTACTTGTTACTTCCTGGGCCATAGGTGACATGGTGATATGTGGACGTCAGAGGACACCTTTTCAAGAGTTGTTTCTCTCTTCATGCCATGTGATTCCTGGGGACCAAATTCATGTCATTATTAGGCTTTGTGGCAAGCCTCTTTACCTGCTAAGCCTCCCTCTGCAATCTCCCTCCCTCCATCCCCCTCACCCCCACACTCAGTACTTTATGTGTATGAGTGTTTTGCCTGCAGTCTGTACAGGTGTACACTTGGGATCTACAGAAGAAGGCATTGTATACCCTGGGATTGGAGTTATAGATGTTTTTTAGCTACGATGTGTGTATTAAAAATTGAACCTGGATCCTTTGGAAGAGCAGCCAGTGCTCTTGGCTGCTGCAAAATCATCTCTCCAGCCCATTCTTTCCTTTTGAGACAAGGTCTTGATCTCCTGATCCTCCAGCCCCAGCCTTCCAAGTGCTGGATCTCGGGCACTCGTCACATGCCCAGCTGTGCCCTTAGGCTCCCTGTGGCTTTCAGCTGGCATGGAGCTGTAAGCCATTAAGTTGATTTCTGTTGAATGCTGTCCCAGAACCAATAGCAGCAGTGGCACCTCTTCTTACCCAGTTAGAAGAACGTACCTTGTCGGACAGTTGGCAGATGAGGTGCTTGGGTGGACGCTTTGGAGATGTCGTTGTCCTGCAGAGCTTTTCACTGTGGGCACGCTCACATGGCTTCTCCTTGGACGTTAGCAGGCCTGTGTCTACAGCCATCTTTAGCACTCCTGCTTTAGGACTTAAAAGCATATGTAGCCAGAGTTTTGCTGAATTTATTGTATCAAACATTGATGCCTGAGAGGGGATAGGTTACCTAAACTTGTTCCCACATGGGACATCAAGTTCATTGGGATACATCTGGCTATGTACACATACGTAAATCTGACTTTGTAGTGACAGTTGTAGAATTTTGGTTTCTTTAAAAACACAAAAATACTGTGAGTCTGTGCTTTCATTTTCTCCCAGGTAAGGGTTGTGGGGCAGCTTTGGGCTCTCCACAGCAGCTGACCAGGATTCCCCTTGTGCTCTAGAACAGGCGTGGTTTTTCCTGCTCCAAAGAGCTTCTAGATTGTGTGACATTTGGAACTGTAGGAAATTTTTAGAGGGTACATAAATGCTAAGGCCCATTTGAGGTGGTTGTTGGTCATTCAGGGGAGATGACTGTGGTTTGTGCTCAAAGAAGAAACAAAAGGAAAGAAATTAGATTCAAGAATCAATAAATCAATATCTATCCCTCTCTTTCCCTCTTCTCCCCCCACCTCTTCCCCCTCTCCCTACTTCTCCGTCTCCTCTCTTCCCTTTCTCCTTCTCTCTCTTATATCTAGTGATAAGGGGTAAAACAGGGGGGTGTGAAGGGTAGAAAAGAGAAGAACACACAAAGCAGCAAAGACCAGCTATACAACTTAGCTCCTAAGACTTCATTAAATTCAGAGCCTACAAGATTGGTCAGCAGGTATAATACCTGTCACCAAGCCTGATGACCTGAGTTTGACTCCCAGGAGCCAGGTAAAAGGAGAACTACTCTAGTACAGTTTTCTGACTTCCATGTGATGGTACACGTGTTTCTACACACATACATAAAACAGGTATGTACAGATGTAGTAGAGACTGGAAGGGTGGCCCAGCAATGAAGAGTACTTGGTGCTCTTGCAGAGGGCCTCTGTTTAATCCCTAACATGTAGATGGTGGCTCACAACTGGAATTGAAGTTCCAGGGGATTCAACTCCCTCATCTGGTCTCCATGAGCTCAAGGCACACATATGGTACACAATTATGCATGCAAACAAATGGCTCATACACATAGGACAGATGTTAATTTAAAAACTTTAAATATTTAATGAAATTCAATTGAAACTGTCAGAGTGCAGTAAAGAAGTTTCATGAGACAATGTAGACTCCTGATGTGAGGGCCAGTGCACTAATCCTCTGAGGTGAGGTGAGATAGTGAGGAGGGCTTGCAAATGGAGTGTGGGATCATAGGAAGTGAGTTTTAAAAAAATACTATACCTCCATGCTGACACCACCACAGGGTCTTGTACATATCTCAGCTGGCCTCAGAATTAAGTGTGATCCTAATCCACTTTGTACTCTATATTTTGAATTTAAATATTGGAGCTGAGAGTGAGGTTATTTTAAACCTAACCTCCAGGATTTGCTGATCCTGTGGCTGTTGGGAGGATTGGGGCAGCCCTGTTGGTATAGGATCTGCTCACAGACAACATGCTGGCCCTGTTCTGCTCAATGTATGGGTTTCACATTTTAAAAGACTCAAGATTTTCACATCACTTCAGTGTTACAGCCGCATAAACTGTGGGTCTCACAGAGCTTCAGGAGCATAAGGGGTTTCCTCTGGGGGAATCTCTTGGAAAGATGGACATGGACCTCCCTTGAAGCTTTGAGTGTAGGTTGTCTCCGAAACAATGAAAGAGAAAAGAAAGGAAAAAAGCCCAGAGCAGTTTGAGCATGCCTACTCTAGCACTTTCCTCTGGCTCACAGGGTCCTGCCACAGAACAATGACAAAGGCCACTGAGGCAGTACAAGTTAAGTACACAGGACATTGCCTTCACAGGAGCAGAGGCCTGCAGCAGAAAACAGCAGTCACCATAGTCTGCGTTCGTGTTGTAGGTGGCTTTTCTTGTTGTTTAAGATCGTTTTTCTGTGAATGGTTTGCCTACATGTATTTATGTGTGCCTGATGCCTGCAGAGGTCAGAAAAGGGAATCCAGTCTCCTGAAAGTGGAGTTGTAGATGATTCTCAACTGCCAGGTAGATACTGGGAACTGAGCCTGCATCCCCTTTAAGAGCAAGGAGTGCTCTTAACTGCTGAAGTTTTCTAGCTCTTATTTTAAGTTTTGAGGAGTTTGGTACTCAGTTACTATAAATTTGAAGTAATTTCCATCAGACAAGTAGAATATACCCTTGTCCAAAATTCTTGAGACAGAAGTTTCCATTTTCTGATTTCCTCAGATTTTGGAATATTTACATTGACATGATGAACTATCTTGAGGATTAGACATAAGTTTAAATGTGAATCTCATTTCTATTTCAAGGACATGTAACTATGCATGGACTCGAGGTAATTTCAGGACATCTAGCTTTGAATGTCAGTCATCATAGGAGGTCCATTATGTAATGTCCTTTTGTATCATGCCCGTCTCCAGGGTTTTAGCTTTTAGACTTGGGCTGTGCAGCTCACCAGTCCCTCCTCCCCCATCCCCACTGTGTACCTTTCCACAGAAGGTAACTTGGTAAATCTTTTAGTTTTTCTTGTTCCACATCCAAGAATTTAGTCAGCATCAGTACACAAATGCATTTATAAAAACTTACACTGTTTTAGAATATAACTGTTTCTGTGGTGCTTGCATAGTCTGGAGGGGTTGGTCCTGTGTGCTAGTGGAGACCTGTAGTCCCAGGATATGGAAGCAAATACATTTCGAGATCCAGGCTAGTCTGGGATACACAGTGAGAACCCGTGTCTCAAAAAAAAAGGAACAGGGAAAACCAGTACAGCAATATGGGTGTGTGGTATATGCAGTATGCACAGGTCATATACAAATGCTATGCTAGATTATTTTGGATATTTGAGTATCCTCGGATTGTTGGTGAAGGTGGAGTCCTGGAACCAGTTTCTGTGTGTACAAAGGGGCGAATGTACTTAGTTTGGGGTTCATTGAAGCATTTTAGCTTGAAAAATTGGTAGGTTCCCTCAGTAGGCTCTTCTGTTCTGGAACACAGGGCTTGCCAGCCTTTGTATTCATTTGCAAACTTATTTATATAAAGACAGAATAATTAAATGTCAAGGAAATTCCTGCTTTTACCAGAGAACTTACCTCAATGTCATGTGAATGGCAGTCTATCTTAAGTGTCAGGATGAGGTCTGCAGTCGCTCTCTGTCATCGTGATGGTTAGTCTACTAGAAAGGTACCCCAGAGGCGTTTGCTGCCTGCAGAGCTGGGTTTTGATGCACCTGCTTTCCATATTCTTAGGTGATTTTAAGTCAGTCTTTGTATCTGTAAAACATAGCTTTGAGACTTTCATTACATAGCATTGCCCCAGATGATTCTTGGGAGTGTTTAGCTTTTTAGCTTCCACCCTAAATTCCACCCTTCTACCTTATTTGGGGACTTGGGTGGGTGGGGGCCGGGAAGCCATGGTTTATATCCTTTGACTAGGTTCCCAGAGCTAGACTTTTGGGGTTTGAGGAATATATCTTCAGTGATTGCTCAAATGTGGTGTTTTTGTTTTGTTTGTTTTGTTTTTTGTTTTTTTTTTGTTTGTTTTTGGTTTTTCAAGACAGGGTTTCTCTGTGTAGACCAGGCTGGCCTCGAACTCAGAAATCCGCCTGCCTCTGCCTCCCAAGTGCTGGGATTAAATATGTGTACCACCACTGCCCGGGCTCAAACGTGTTTTAAATTTTTATTATTTTGCTGTTTTATGTGTGGTGTGTGTGGTGGGGTGTCATGTTCCACAGTGCATGTGTGGAAGTCAGAAGAGAGCTTTGTGGAGTCCGTTCTCTCCTTCTATCACTGTAGGATCAGACTCAGGTCTTTGGGCTTACATTGTTGAGTGGCAAGCCCTGTCTACCCATCTTAGCAGCCTTGAACCTTAGCAGTCTTAGCAGACCTGAGTTTTACAAACTGTTTTATTCAAAGGCCTTCCTTTTCCAGTGCTGAAATTGCTGGTCTGTTTCTTTATCTGATATGATCTCCAGCCTCAAAGCAGTGCTTAACTGTGTTCTCACTTGTTACCTCACCTATCTATCCTCCCTCCCTCCCTCCCTCCCTCCCTTCTTTCTTCTTTATTTTTGTTTTTTTTTTCTTCTTACATTTGTTAGTAATGCTGGGGGGGCGGGTTCTAAATTGCTTTGGAAAGGTGAGTGACATAGTCCAAACTCTGATGCAGCAGAGGTGAGTGACATCGTCCAGCCTCTGATGCTGGGCATCCAGCACTTCATAGGTTCTACTGTAGCATGTGACGAGAAGAGACCCAGTGTAGAGTCAGGGCTTGACTGCCACTGCAGGCCTAGTAAAGAGCTGTCAGATGGTGCAGTTCCTGGACATGGAGGAGAGTCACAGAGGTCCACTCTGAGAGCTGCCCAAGAAGGCTGCATTATAGGCAGCTGGAGATACTCTGAATATTTTTCAACACACAGAAATGAAAATTATCCTCACCTGGCAGTTTTACTTAAAAATAACTCTTTTTTTTTTTTTTTAAAGTCCCTTTTTTAAAAAAAAGACTAAAAAAAAACACCTTACTGTTAGTTTTTCTGCTGTATCAGAGCTTCTTAGCGTTGAGTGGTTATGCTTTTATACTACTACTGACACAAACATTTTTTAACTTAAGGTTTTATAAGAAATTGTCCTTGAGGTCATATGTTTTACAACAAATGAGTAGAGATTAAAATTAGTTGGTTTTGGTTTCCAGTAGTTGCTTGAGGCTGTTTCTTTAAATTTAGACAAAATAAAGTTACTATGCTCTGTAGGTACCTTAACCATGTGCCTGTTAGCCCCATAGAGCCAGTGGCTACCTACCACAGTGGACAGCACAGTTCAAAAGGACATGTGTGCCATCAGAGAAAGTTATATTTGCATTGAGGTAGAAGCACAGACTTCTTTTTCTTCACATGGTGAAGCACAAGTTTAAATAGTATATATGCATCATACAGGTTTCCTAAGCAAGTTTACAGACGGACCACCACCAAAGCTAGAGTGCTAGTGCCTCTACATGGGAAACAGAAATATTCTCTAGACCTTTTCATCTCAAGAAGCACAGAGCTGATTGGTTTAAACTTATTCCATTTACATCCACCTAGCTTGCTTTGACTCAGTCATTAGCCCTTCAATGAGACTTGCTCAGGGGAAATAAGCTAGCTTTCTTTGTTGTTTCCATTAGGTTCTGAGAGGTAAATTGCCTGCTTCAGTGAGGGGGGGAAAAAGCCTGCCTCTATCAAGTAAATTCTGAAATGTGCAAATCTGGAGCTTTTGTGACTGTGTGCTTCTTTCTCTCCAGGAGAACTGCGGCACATCACCAAGCTGAAGCCCTGGAGCCTCTTTGATGTACTTGTGGAAAAGTATGGCTGGCCCCATGAAGATGCTGCACACTTCACAGATTTCCTGATCCCAATGTTAGAGATGGTTCCAGAAAAACGAGCCTCAGCTGGTGAATGCCTTCGACATCCGTGGTTGAATTCTTAGCAGATTCTACAAATATAGCATTCTGAGCTAGCAGAGTTTCCCAGTACAGTGGACCTAAGCAGTGGCTCTCTCATTCTTTAACAGGATTACAAGTGAGCTGGCTCCACCCTCAGACCTTTGTTTTGCTTTGAGGTACTGTTGTTTGACACTTTGCTTCCTGTGCACCATGGTCCTGGGGAAGGGTGGTCTTTGTCTTCAGCTAAGTAGTTTACTGGCCATTTTCTTCTGGAAACAATAACATGTCTCTAAGCATTGTTTCTTGTGTTGTGTGACATTTAAATGTCAATTTTTTTGAATGAAAAATACTTTCCCCTCTGTGTTTTGGCAGGTTCTGTAACTATTTATGAAGACATATTTTAGCTGAGTATTATATATAATTTACAATCTTAAGAAATTATCAGTTGGAACCAAGAAAGAGCAAGGAAATGTACAATTTTATCTTCTGGCAAAAGGAAATCATTCCTGTATTATAGTGTATGTAACTATTAATTTGCAAAAAATAGGGGATGAGGATTCACATTCAGAAAAGCTACCCAGTCCTGAGTGCTTTTTAGCCTACATTGCATGTTGCAGATTTCCACTGCTTCAAGAAGTTGTGCAAACTTTTCATTCCATGACAGTCCAGGTGGCTCTGGATTAGGTGCCGTGTCCTCTGTGGCACTTTAGAGGGACAAAAACTTTAAAAACTTGACATTATAATCTAGCAATTCTATTTGTATTTTGCATATTTTAAAAACTATGTTTAAAGTATAAGTCCTTTCCACTTAAAATGTGATGGCCCAATCCCATGTAGTGTCGCCTCTTACCAGCACTGTAAGTTAAATACATAGATTAAATTGGACAAGAGAAATATGTTCAGTGTGTGGAATGAAAAAAATAATATCTTAATGGAAAAGCATGATCGTGTTGTTTAAAACACAAGGTGTGGCTTATACAGTTTGCAACGCAGTGGAGAGAATGCTCCTCCCAGCTTAAAGGTACCAGCGCCCCATCCCCTAGGCAGCTTCCCTGACCACTGCAGCTTCCCTTGCCTTTCGTTACTTCCCATGAATGAGAAGGCCATTTCCCCTTTGCAGACCGCATACCGTTTTAGTTTATGCATTTCCTTAAAATTAACTGTAGAATCCAGGATACAAACCATTAGTAGGCAATACTATTTTAGAATGTAACTTAGGAGGTATATTTAGCCTCTTTTAGAAGTCAGTGGATTGAATGTCTTTTTTTAAAAACTTTTTATTCATTAAGGTGCCTCGTTTTTCTTGACTTTGTCCATTAACATTTATCCATACGCCTTTGCAATAATTAGATTGTGAAAAGCTAACGAGTGTTGTAACAATAATTCTTCGTTTGGGGTGCTTGCACTTGTCTTTAATTAAAGTGTTTTGGGGTGTTTTTCCAGACATTGCCTTGGTTATTGCCCTGTATTTGAAGAGACAGAATCAACATACATTTGCTCTCAGTAGAGTGTCAACAAAGCTAAAAGAGGTGCAGATTAAGTCACAGGACATGCATTAGGGCAGAATGGATTTTATGAATGAGGCTTTAGTTACAGCTTCATTATCTACAATGTGGGTGTCCCCTCATTTTTTTTTTTATCAGTGTTTCATTGTAAGTGCAATGGTTTTCTCCTCCTTCCCAGTCTTTCCCTCTGGGGAAAAGACACATATCCCTCTTAGGGGTTAGCATTATTATATTATACACTGTAGTGAGATAGGTGCCACTCATTCATAAACTATGCATGCTGTTTCTAATGAGGCTGTGGGTTTCCTTATAGAGCCTATGACAGAGATGGTGGCTGTTAAGTCACGATTTCTATAGACACATTCCTGTAAGAACCACAGAGTATGTTTATGTCTTCCCTACCTCTGAGAAAACTTTTATGATTTGAATGAAATTTGTCTAATGCGGTTAGAAATGTCAAGTTGGAAATGGAAGCTAGAACATTATTCCTAAGGTGGTTCTTCTATTAATACCCTAACTAGTTTACGATATACAAGGAGTTCTAGAATACACTTTTGTGATTGGGTACCATATGGTTATATCAGATTCTTGGTAGCATGATGATAAAGAATAAATGTAAAGGTTGGGTGTTGTTTTGCACTCCTTTAATCTCAGCACTTGGGAGGCAGAGGCAGGAAGATCTCTGAGTTTGAAGCCAGCCTGGTCTACATAAGTTCCAGCCTACCCAAGGCTATATAGTGAGATCCTGTATTGAAAATCTAGGAAGAAAGAAAAGAATAAAAGCTTAAAGTGAACCATTGGTTATTTGGAACATTATAGTCAATCAACTAAGTCTTTTTAGTGGAAAGACCCTGTGAAATCTCCATAGAAAATTACAAGCAGTGGGTCCCATATGTAACTTTTAACAGATTCAGAAATAGCTAATCTAAAAATTGGCAGAGCTGTCCAGAGAAAAAGTGGGTATTAGGGAGTTTGAAATAAGTATACTTTTTAAGCGAGATCTTGTTTTTCCATATTCCCTTCACCTTCATTGGAATAGAAAACATGTTCAGATTATTTTTCTTTTCTTCTTGTTTTGTGAGGCAAGGACTCAGAGATCTGCCTACCTAGGCATGCCAATCCCCTCCCACCCCTCAAACACACACACACACACACCCTCTTTCTCTTAATTAAGTTTGTAGAGTGTGTTCATTAAAGATTATATTTAGTTGATGTCTTTCAGTCTGCACAAGAGCTTTCATTATGAATTACTTATATAGCTGGCTACTTTGAAATTCAGTGGACAAGTGAATTTAAGGATGAATATTCATTTTTCTTTGGTCTACCTGAAATTGTCAAGGAGGGACAATGTGAACCTATCCAGTTTTTAGACTAAGGTTTCTTTAGTAAACATCCTAAGTCAAAGATGGCAAGGTTAACTGGTCTTCAAAAACTTGAAGATGATTGGTTTTAAGCCCTAAACGAGCTGTATTCTTGAGTTAATTTTCAAATGGGAATTAAATGATAAAACATGATTTAAATCACTACCAAATTTAAGTTTACTATTTTTCCTGATGCACAAAATTGATATACTGTGCCCAGTTGTGTCATGTGTTTGGAAGGTGGTAAATAGGGCCACTCCTGAGAGGTAGACAGCAGAAGTTGGTAATTAAAAAAAAAGGTCACAACTGATGTATCTTCTTTGAGTAATAAACTATTCACTGAGACCCTCTTCATTCTATTTGACGTATTTCAGACTAATGCCTTTCCCCCTTGGTTTTGTTTAAAGAGATCTATTTTCTACAACTTAAAAAAAAGCTCTAAAGCAAGGTATTAAATACTACATTTCCATATCAGTTTTGATTATTAGTGGAGGTATTTCAGTCACATTCTAAACTGTACAAATTAAATCTCCACGTGTTATAAGTAAATTACTCCTTTTCAAACTGTGGTAAACTGCAGTATGCAACTGTACAGTATGGAATGAATCAATAATGTGGATTAATTAGAACGTTAGATTCTTAGATTGTTACCTAAGTCACATAGTGTGGCTATTTAATTTCCTATGACTCATGCTCCTAAAGAAAATGCAAGTGTTAGAGAGGACTGTGGGACCCACCCAGACCAGCTGCCCGTAGCCTGCAGTGCAGCCGAGGTAGCAGCTACTGAAGAAAATGGATGATGGTTCTTTACTTACAAATTATATTTGAAAATTTTAACTTTTGTAAAATCATTAAGCAGACCTAAATCTCAGAAGTTGTACAGAACAATTTAGTAAAACTGACATAATTGTGGTTTATTAACATGAATTAAAATGCCCAACCAGTGCTTCAATGTGACAGCATATTTGAAATAAAAAGGAAAGGTCATGTACTGTACTACTTTCACAGAGATCACACTTTTGCAAAAGACTTGCCATATGTACAATGCTATATACCAAATGAAGAGGGTGGGAAGCAATTATATACGCAAAAGAAATGCAGTATTTACAGTCTGTCAGGAGACACTAGAAATTATCTATACATTAAATTACATTTTGCTTGCAAAAAAACTGGTAAAACAAAATGAGCCGTGTCCACACCAAATTATAAAAACCTGTATTGCATTTTCAGACCTAAGATGCACTCAAAGAACTGCTGACCATAAAAAAAAATCCTTAGTGCTTTCTTTAGCTGTATACTTAATGCATATGTATAAAATACAGAAATTGTTCACTAAATGAATTTAACTGCAACAATGAAATTTAAAGGTCGCGTAGGATCAGATCTATGGTCAGAAAAACAGTTGGAATGTTCACTTACAAAATAAAGATACCTACAACTGGCTTAGGAGCACATTTCATAAAGAATTGTAAAAAGCAAAAATGGGAAAATACAATGAAAGAGCACTGGTGTTTGGTTTTGTTTTTTGTTTGTTTTGTTTTTGTTTTTTTTATACAAAGTTTCATGTACAAGCTTTAAAAAGTACCTTTAACAGGTACATATGAAATATACAGTCTATCTTACAGAACATTTTAAAAAATGTTATTGGAGTCCATTTTAATGCCACCCTGAACCGTGGTAATTGTTCTGAAATGTTGGTGGCACCTGTGCTCTGTGAATTGGAATCTGTCCAGGCACTGGAGATGCCTGCTGAGGTCCTTGCACCCCATGTGGCAGGGCCACAGAGCCAGGATGAGGATGAGGACAGAACCCTGAAGCAGTAGGTGTTGGAATACTGTTTGGTCCTTGGGGCTGGAGATGAGGACCAGCAACTGGTAATGGACAATGTGGGCCTGTTCCAGAAGGCTGGTGTTGGGGTCCCGGTCCCAAAGTGGTGTGATGTGTGGCTTGTGAGGGATAGGGCGGTACAGCTGGATGAGCACTTGCAGGAAAAAGTGGAGGTCCTTGATGAGGTGGGTGGTGTAAGGCCTGACCTGATGCTGAATGATGCCCAGAAACCAGAACACTGGCTGGAGGAGGAGGAGGTGGAGGGGGTGGGGGTGCTGAGTTTACTACATGCTGGTGTTGTGCTTGTAGACTTTGCAGTCCTGTGGAAGGATGGGGCGGTGGATGGTGATGTGGGGCAGGACCAGGAGGTGGAGGGGGTGGTGGTAAATGGTGTCCAGCAGTTTGAGAATGAATGTGTGACCCAGGGGTGACAGCATGAACTGGCCCGACTACATGTGCTACAGAGTGCTGCTGATGCGAGTTTGGCTGTTGGACGAGGTGTGGTCCTGGAGCAGGTGGTGGCGGAGGCGGGGGTGGGACCACAGCAGCAGCAGTTTGATGGTGAATGGTAGGGTTTTGAGAGGGCAGAAAATGCCCTGGAGTAACATGGTGTCCAGGAACTGATTGCTGGCTTGAGGTGCCAGGAAGTGCTTGATTTGGTCCAGATGTAAACACAGTCTGTTGGGAAAGACTACCTTTTAGCTGATTATAACTCTGAAAGTTTGCAGAGGACTGCTGGTTTTGATAGTATGATGAAGGAGGCGGAGGGGGGGGAGGAGGTGGGGCCGTGCTGCTGAGACTCGGTTGGTTGAACTGACTGTATGTTGCTGAAGGCTGTCCTGAGGGTGTCTGGGTAAATAATGCTGCTGACACTGCCTGCTGAGTGTTAGCTTGAAGAGTCTGTGCCGCTGGGTAAAAACTTCTCTGAGTCTCTCGTTGAGGCGTTCCAACTTGAGGTGACTGTGAATGGTGAGGCCTGAAGGGAGATCCTAAGTGCTGTGAAGGAGGCTTTGGTGAGAGGTAACCGTGCTGCTGCGCAGGTGTGTGAGGCGTGGAGGACTTGGGAGGGTTTTCTGTATGAGGTGACGGAGGACAGTGCAACTTTGTTGGTGCAGAAGGCAGCTTTTGCGGAAGTTGATCGTTTGTATTTCGGACATGGGCCTGAGGAGGATGGTTCTTTGAAAGTGCTGGGGTGTTACTTGACAGCTGTTTTTGCTCTGGTTTTAGGTGAACGTTGTTTTCAGCTTCTGATACAGTGGCAGTTGCCTCCCAGTGGGAATCTGGTTTTGTGAGTATTTTCCCATGTGACTGAGCAGGATTGATTGGCCCTGGTGATCCAGGCTATGAAGGAAAAAAAATATGAGAAAATTTTACTGATATTTAATGTTACTTAATAAGAGGGCAGAAAGGACGACAGTATAGGTGAGTTTTCCTCAGTACACTGTGTAACCGAATTCTCTAGCTTTTGATGAAGATAACCCAAGGGAATTTATGGTCCCCATTTTACATTTTCTTCAAACATTCAAACAACTGTGTTTCGGCCTCTGACAACCTTAAAACTTAGCAAATGGATAAACAAAAATTGTTCATCAAATCATTCAGCATTAAAATACATAGACGACTTATTCAAAAGGCACTCAATTTTACAATGCTCTGCAGACCCCCTGAGCCATCAGCTCCTCACAGACCAGGATGGAGAGCACTGTCTCTTCTGAGGGCGTGTCACCTGAGCTTTGGCATAGGAGTGCTTGTTTGGCTGGTCCTAAAGAGTATCCCCATGAAGACAGGAGTAAGACTTCAGTGAGAAATGTCGACTACGGAAGGGTTCTTAGAAAACTGCGAGGTCTTAACCCTGCCTTAGCAAGGTTGTCTGTCACAGCTCAACAGAAGAGTGACTAAACAGAAAGAGTATAGAAATCACAAACTGATACTTGATGTAGCAGGAAAAAAAGTCAGTCTGATGTTACCATCAGCTTTTCCTAGTGGCCAGACTTGGAAGGTCAGTGTGCTTACCTTGCTTGTTTTAGAAGGGCTCTGAGAAGTGTCAGGGGATGGACATTCACTTGTACTTGTGGCTTCTGTACCTTCAGGATCAGGGTCTATAAGGTAAAAGAAACCCAGTAAATATAAGATTACAGGACATACTGCCTCTTGTAGACACACAGAGTGCTCCCTGTACACAGTTCTTTTTCTTACTATAAAGTGCTTTAAAATAATCGCCATGATAGGTCATCTGCTTACTGACCTGCCATAAGTTCACTCAAAGAAGGGGCTAGGCTCTGCGCGTGCGCCTGGGGAATGTGATCTGAATGAGATGAAGGTGAAGACTGGACATGACTCGGGGAACATGAGACACATGGTGATTCTCCCCCTATGGATGAAGCACAGCAGACCCAGAGAGTACATTAGTGCTCACAGGGAGCAGAGCACGAACAGGCAGAGCCACTTGGGAGAGCAGGAGCAAGAGCACTCACCGCTGTCTTTGTCTTTGCGGTGGTCACTGAGCAGTAACGCTCTCTGGTAACTTCTCTCTCTCACCTGCTCCACTGAAGTGGAGGCGGTCCTTTAAAATAAAACACATCCTCAGGTCAGAGACTGTCTAGGAAGGAGTTTGCTACATTGGGTTGAAACTTTGGTGTTAAACCTCTCAAATTGCTAACCATGCTCTAAAGTGAAGTTTTTTTATTACTCTTTACTCAAAGAAATCAGACTAACATTTATCTTTGGCAATTTCTTAGTGAAAAGAAGGGTAAACTGGAAATACTTTTAACATTTTTAAGGACATGTTAGGTTGCCAAAAGGAGCAAAATCCCTCCAACAGAATCCACATGCCTTGTGTCAGAGTGGTAAAGTGTGCACTGGGGACTGAGAGGTCTTTCACATGGCTGCTGAGATCCATCTTAAATGCAGCTGCTATGGTCTTACTGAAACAGGAAAACTGCTTCTTAATCCAAAGTTAACTGATAGGGGAAGTAAAGAAACTGTACAGGACACTGCCTGCGGTGGCAAGTTCTGCAGGAAAGAATGTTTACAGGGCTCAGATGAAGAAATGAGACCTTCACTGCAACAGGCTTCTGAAGTTATGACTCAATCACTGTCTGTTTACCATTCCAAAACAGCAAGCAGGAAGAATAATTCTCTAACAGTTTGCTTTTTTTTTCTCCTTGCACAGTGGCACATTGTGGAGGGGCTTACCACTGGACTTCTGGGTCTTTCTTCTCACTGCAATTGGCATCTTTAACAGGACAGTTGCTGCTGCCTTCTTCAGAAGAGGCATTATAAGAGGCAGTTGGTGGTGGTAAAGGCAAGCTAGCCTGGTTTTCTCCCTGCTCCCCGTTCTCACTGCCGTGGACACATCCATCGCCACTGTTGCTCAGGTTCCCACTTGGATGAGGTGATACACTAATCAAAGCAAAGTTCTCTGGCTTAGAACCACTTTTCCTAGCTTCGCGTTGTCTCTTACGGTATTCTAATAGAGAAACCTTAAACAAGAAAGAAAAAGTAAATCTTTTATTCTT